ATTAAAATTAATATCAGTTTTTATAATTTTTATATATATTTATAATAAAAAATATTCTTAAAGGTTAGAAAAACCCAAAAGTTAAATGTTTATTTGGTTAGCTTGTATCCTATAGAGTATTTTTTAAAAAGTCACACCAACAAATGTGTCGATTTAGTCTTAAAAAATAATTTAAGGTAAAATTTATTAAAAATAATATACAATCAATTATATAGGGACATAATTGATAATGTAGTCAAGAAATACTTTTCAATTTAAAAACCTCAAAAGATTTTCTTGTAAGGTACATAATTAATTAAAAGTTTAACATAATCAATTATATTTAAATATTTTATACTAAGTAATTATTTTTTTGCATATAACTGATTAGAGCAGTGCTAGGGGCACTCGCTTTCTGCACTCTCCGGCCACTTCCCCTTTCATTGGGCCACGTAAGCTTCTTTAAAGCTTTCAGGCGCAATCTCTCGGGAACCAAAATAACGTGGCCCAATAAAAGAGAAAGTGTTGGCCGGAGAGTGCAGAAAGCGAGGGCCCCTAGCATTGCTCTAACTGGTTATATTCATCACTTTGATTTTTGTACTGGATTTTGATTTTCTTAGACCAAACTCACATTTTAAAGACACAATTTTATCAAAAAAATATTTTACAAGATAAAGATGAGTCAAACAGGTCCTAAGTTAGAAAAGAGAAAAATGAAGAAGAAGAAGAAGAAGAAGTAATGCAAAAGAATTTATAAAACCAAAGAAAAAAAAAAAAAAGAATCTTTGGCCTCTTGAGAAAAGGTGAATCATTGGATAAGTGAGACTCCCATTAGGCTAGAAGATAGTTTCCCCATTCAACTAGTTAGGTTTTGCAATCTGTAAGTCCAAACAATATAATGGTGTATCAAGCAAAATTAATGCATTGATACATGATCGTCACAATCCATGCATCAGAACAAGCACTCTATTTCCATTTTATTCAATCAATGAAAATCGAATCACTACTAAAAATAGGGATGTCAACGGAGTCCCGTAAGGTCGGGGAGCTCCTCCCCATCCCTGTCCTCGCGAATCATGGGGACGAGGATCCCCGTGGGGATTTTTGGCAAAAGGCAGATTTTGCCCTCTGTCCCCGTTTCCCATGAGGATCCACATTCCCCACGGCTCTGGCCGCAACAGTAATGGTAGCAGATGGCTTCGTAGCAACAACAACAAAGTAGATGGACCGGTAGCAACAAAGCAGATGCATCCAGCAGCAGCAGAGCAGATGGATTGGGCATTGGCAACAACAAAGTAGATGGATTTGGCAACAGCAAAGCAGATGCATCCAGCAGCAGCAAAGCAAATGGCTTCGACAACAGTAGAGAAGATGGATTCAGCAACAGAGCAGATGTCTTCGGTAGCAGCAGCAGAGCAAATGGATTCGGAAAAAGCAGTGGAGATGGATTTGATAGTAGCTACAGCAGAGGAAATTGAGGAGGTGAGATGAAGGTGAGAGATGGGTGAGCTGTAGACAAAAGACTAAGAGTGAGACTGTGAGTGAGAGTAATCAGAATTAAAATAAATTAGGGTTATGCTTAAATGTAGGGGAATGGGTTGGGTTGTGTTGGATTAAATTTAATTGTAATTGGATTGGATTTGGATTTGGGTTTGGGTTTGGGTTTGGGTTTGAGTTTAAAGAATAAATTAATTTTAAAATAAAAAAAAAAATTTATGGGGATGGGGATCCTCGCGAGCCTCACGGGATGGGGAAAATTCTCTGTGAAATTTCACAAAGAAAAAATGATCCCCATCCTCACCACGCGAAAAGAAATATTCTTCTTTACCCCATCCCCACGGCGGGAATTCCTATGAAACCCCATGAGAAACGAGGAGAATTGTCATCCCTAACCATAAATGATTATGTAATCATTATTTATTTTTTAACTCAAAAAAGTCAACAATAGAATAGAAATAATTAAGATTTCGTTTTGACCATCCTTCTAATTATTTTACTTTTTAATTTTTATATCTTTTTATTATTTTAAAAATATATAAAAAATAAATAAAAAAAAAAATAAAAAAAAAAAAATATATTTTAAATATTTTAAGACAACTGCAGTTCCAGATCAATATTATTAAATTAAGTCTAAAACAAACCCAACCCGACCCAGCTATGCGGCAAGCCAGTTACAGCCCGGTGAGAGTGAAACTGGGACCAGCCCATTTGCCATGAGTAGTCTAGAGTCTAGACCCACCACGAGAAGTAGGGCAACGTAAGAGAGAGAAGCAAATTACGTGGGCCTTGGATTGGACCTGGTTTTATTTTATTTGGGCTGGAATAAAACATTCTCCCTCCCACCACCTCCATGCACAAGCGTTTTAAGCTTTTAGGTGCCTCTCCGACCAAACATCCCGAAGGGTTTAGGCGCCTCCCGGTAAAATTGAATCGCCGGAACCGAAACAGGTCAGTTTTCAGATTTCTTTGCTGTCATTTCCGATTGATTAACTTGACTTAGTTGATCTTTATCCTAAGAACTTTTTTCTTTTCTATGTGAATTTCTTCTTATTCCAGCGTAAAGAATTCAGAAAGCTAGATTTTTTTCTCTATATATTTGTTGGGGAGATCATTAAAGGGGAAGGTTATGGCACACGCTCGAGCCCGGAACTTCTTGTTCTGTGAGATATGCGGCACATCGCTATATTTGGTGTCAACCAAGCATGCTGAGTGCCCCTCCTGCAAGTCTAGGAAAAACGCAAAAGATATATCCATTAAGCCTCTGCTTAATTTGTTTTTGTACATGGCCGCTTTCTCCCCCTTTGAACTTTTACTAAATCATATATGCTGATTAAGAAGTGTGTTAAGTCCAAAAAGAGAAGATATGCAATGAGGTCCCAAAACATTGCTTAATAGAAATTTGCGTGTATTTTAGAAGATTTACACTTAAGTGTTATTATTTGAACTCAACGTCATGAATTTTCTTTATGTTTTGCTTTTCCTCACCCATTTTTGATGTACATAACAAAGTTTCCCGCTAAAATGATCTCTGTTATCAGTGGTAGTTTTGAGAGGGGCGAATATTCGGAAATTTGTTTTGACGTTTTCCCAGTTTACTTATTTATATTTTTACTTTTCCTGGACCTTATCAGAAACATTTTTGTGTATACACATTAAGATGTTTTGCAGTTCCATGTGTTGGATTGCACTGCCCGTCTATGTTTCCTTTATTGACATCTCAGTCTCAAATTGAGAGAAACTAGGATTTAGAATTTAGATACTGTACGACACGTTTGTGTAGCTGTCTTCCATGCAATATCATATTACATGTCAAAATATTTTGGCAGTTAATCATTGCATGTTCTTGTTTTGAATATCTCATGGTGATGGCAACTTAATTTTAGATGGCCTAAATCTCTATAGACCACCTTCTCTATTTTCATCTTCTATGTTACTAAATTTATCATTGCTGTGCTCAGAGATTTTGGGCAAAGAAATATCATACAGAATATATAACTACTCGGGTATGCTCAAATCAATTCGTTGATGCATCATAGTGAACTGCTAAGTTTTAAAACCGTGAGGGCCGGAAGTCCGAAGCAAACAGACCATAAAGATGTTGATAAGGATCTAAGTTAAAGAGTATAAATCAAACGTCTATAGACTCTAGTGCCCGAAATGATAAAAAACAGCCAATTTTGACTGGTTTGTGTTATTCAATTGGCTAAAGGAGTTGTCGTACAGGACTGAGAAAGTGAGAAGTCTTTCTTTTCACCTACTAAATCAGGCAAGGTGGATATTTTTCTTTCCCTTCTCTTCTATTGGAGGTTGAGCCCACTCTTTGATGTGGGATTGGTTGGACGGTGGGAGTTAGGAGTGCAGCTGGAACCTAGAGGGCCTCATACTGAACTGCTGAGTTTGAACATGAATCAGCTTTTAACATCTGTTTGCACTTGAAGGGGACCATTCTAAGTTACCAATGCTAAGCTAAATGTTCTTGCCATGTTTGTGCTACAATTATATATATCACTTATGCCTCTGGTATTGCGGGTTTTTAAAAGGGAGCTCCGCATTAAACTATTTGATGAAGAGACTGAAACTGGGAAATCAGGAACTAGGGTAATTTCAGTAATGTGATTGGATAGAAACCGATGAAAGTATGATATTCTCAAATAACTAATTGTCTTAGTACTTCACTTTGCAGATGATAAAGAAGGCTTGTGATAAATGTGGCAATCCAGAGCTCGAGTACACTACTAAGCAACTAAAATTATTCCTACTCTCTAAAGTTTCAACAGGATGACTTATGTGTTCTAGTATCCCCTATGGTTGTTTCACGATCACTGAACTTGTATTCTTTTTTCCAATCTAGATGAGATCGGCAGATGATGGACTGACTGTATTCTACCACTGCCCCCGTTGAAATCATCAAAGCCAAGAAAACTGAGTCTCCGGGTTGATCTTTCTGATATTGGATGTGTTGAGCATAGGAGGACTTGTTACAATGTGTATTTTGTCATTGATTCGGTGTGTATTTCACACTTATTCACATCATAATTTTTTATTTTTCTTCTCAAGTGAAACAATTTGATTTTTTCATCTAATATTATTGTTTCCACTTTCTGGAAGAAGAACCAAGCAGCTCAAATCTGATGATACACCACCGAATTACTGATACAACAAAAGGCAGAACTTTTTATAGATACGAAAATACACAACAGTATCTTGTGCACCCCAAATTAAAAACCAGGGGGTTGAGTACATCCTTTTCCCATGACCACAAGCAGCAAAGCTTACCAAAAAAACAGCAAAGCTTGGAAGAGGAATGGGAGATATACGAACAGAATTATAGGAAAGCACCAAAAACAGCAAAGCTTGGGGGAGAAGAATGGGAGAATTAGGAACAGAACCATAGGAAAGCAGAAGAGTTATAAACTTATGACTAGAGGAGACATAACCAAACCAGAAACCCATGACACCATGTACCACAGCACGAGATCTAAAAACGATGACAAGCTTTCACCTCAACGGAGGCGAAGTAGTCGCTGGAGATCATCAGTGGCTCCAGCGTCAATTCCAGCAGCTTCTGCATTGCACCTGAGCTTCGGTCTGAGTGAAAACTTCGGCAAAGGCAAACTGCTTGGCGGTGGAGACAGGGTAAAAATCGAACCCGAAAACGTCTCCAAATCATTCATCACAGCATTACTCTCAACCAGAGTCAATGATGGTGAAGATAATAACACCTTGAACACATGCTTCGGAAGATCGTTCGGATCCGGTCCCAAACCGACAACAGACTCCTTCGCCTTCTCTGTTGCTTCTACTGGTTTCGAATCTTTCTTTGGCTTTTGCTCCTCTCCTTTAGAGGCAAGTGGCTTCGATTTTGATTTCTTTGGGGTGAGAGATTGAGCTTTGCTCCTGTTTGTCTTCCTACTGCTAGGAGAGGAAGAGAGTGGTCTGCATCGAGCAGGGAGTGAGCTATGAAGCGGCTGAGAAATTGGAAGAGGGAGGAGAGGCGGCTGTTGCTGGCGGAGAAGGTTGGGATTCTGTTGATGATTTTGATAGATATGATTCATCAGCGGAGCAGAAGGAGGATAAGAGGAGAAAGAAGGCGTAGGAGCAAACAATAGACCTCCATGGATGTTATTTATCGGGGCCAAGTTCTCGCTCGGCTTCGAAACAAAACCCCGTCCGACTCTCTTGGGATTCTTCACCTGCTTGTACGGGGAACTCGGTTTCTGAAGTGAAGATGACAGCATAACAGCCTCCATAACTTTTGATTTTCACACTTTACAATCCAAACTCGAAAGGAAAACTCCTGGAAAGGAAGGAAAATTTACAGAATCCAAACAAGATTTTATAAGGAAATTATCAAATTCAAAGGGGATGATCTTTATAATAACACGATCAACACGGCCTGAAATTGAGGAAATCTTCTCAACTATGAAGAGAGAAAAAAAGAGGAAATTTTTTTGCACAAAAATTTACAAAATACTAAGAAAACTGAACATGGAAGGAAAGATTTTTGATATCTACGATGAATTTAAACAAAATAACCTCCCTAATTAATTAGATCAATTCAAAAAAGATCAAAACACCATCGATGTAATAGGGACTCACCCATCTGCCTCTTTTTATAGAAAAATAAAACGGAGGGACCTCCAACGGCTACTTTATTTTTTTTGTATTTTTATTTATATTTTTCTAATTAAAATGCCACTGTTTTTGCTAATTTACCGACAACCGTTACAGTCGGCTACCCCTAAAGTCCAATGCCGGGAAACATCGCTGGGCGGCAGCCGCCAATGCGGTATCCACCGTCGGATTAAATTATTTGAAATAGCCGTTGAGGAGAATCCGACCGTCGATGATCTCCTTGGCGCTCTAATAGGTTGGTTTCGTTAGATAGAGACCGGGAAAATCTCAACCATACAAGTCTAACCTTTGTGGGGTCCACTTCTCTTTTACCCGTAGATGACCGCACATGCAGGGAAACAAGCGGAATCACTTAACTTAGATTTTTAGAATGGGACCCACGTGTGCAAACTGCAACATTTTCTTGTCTGATACACGTGGCGACACCTAAGCCACCCTTTGACTTGAATTGTTAAGATTTTGCTGCGCATGATTGGTCTGGTCGGTGCCATGCACGTGACAATAGAGTATTTTTTAAGTAATTTTATTATTATTATTATTTGCTTAAATTAAGAAATAATTGTAAGATATTCCACCGTAAGAGCCGACGAAGCAGCTGATGTGGGAAAACGATGTCTGACGTGGTCAACAAGGTGGAGCACATGACCAATCATCGATGAGTTATAGATCTTTCCAGATTGTTGCGTGTTCTGCGTCTGTGGGAGAATCCAGATCTTTCCAGATTTTCTTGATTTAATCAGCAATTAAGTGGCCAATCAGATGGCTAGAATGGCTGGTGCAATGTTAGTTTGGCGTGTATCGGATGATACTGACTTTGTGACCTGTGACGTGTTTGGAGCATCTTTAAAAGGGCCCATTGCTTAAAGACGACGGCTTTTGAGAAAGAAAAACTTGCACCTTATGCGGGCTAACATTATGCTTTATTAAATTTGCAATACATACAATATCTCTTTAATAAATAAGATTTTGATGTTTTGTATTCTAAATTACTTCAAAACAAAACATCAATTATTGACTAAGAAGGTTCTCAACTATTATGATGAGTCATTTAGAATATGTTTGGGTTAGTTTACAAGAGTTTTATTTTATTTTATTATTCATGAGTGATAAATTTAAATTTTTATGAGAGAAAAAGTTTAAAAGCTACTTTTAAAAATAGGAAAAAAATGAGTTAAAAAGGAAATTTATAAAAAATTTGAATTTGAAATTTTTGAATTTTTATTATTTAAGATCTTTTTAAAGTTAAAAAAAAGTTTTAAAATGTAAGTTTTTAAGAAAAAAATTTAAACTTATAAAATATGAATAGTATCAAAAAATTAAAGTACTTGAAAACTGAACCAAACATACTCTTATTATTATTTAACAATTTATATTTTATAATTTAATACAATTTAAATTATAAAATATATTTTTGTATATATAAAATTGATTAATTTATAAGTAGCGATGAAGTCTCAAATCAATTACTTAGGAATTTGAAGGCATAGATTTTGCAACCTCAAGCATTATGGATTCGACTTTTGCAAATGACAATTTTTTTAATATATTTTATTTAGTTAATTCGTGTATTGTACTTAAATAATTAAATTTGTAATGTGTGCAATTATAATGTATTTGTATTTATACTCTATGAAAAAAAAACTTATAAATGTAAATGTAATATAAAACTTTTCAGATTTCATAAAATTGCTTCATATTTATACAATATTTTGATTAATATGTATATTCAAAAAATACTAAAATCTCAAATACTAAAGCTAATAACATAAGCAATATATCGGTAATTTTTTTTTATTAAAAATAAAAAAATGATAAATTTGAATTGTAAACATAGTACTAAAATAAGAGAGATTTACTTTCCATCATTAAAAAAAGAAAAGAAAAAAAAAAGTCAAATAGTCATCTATTTTGAATTCAATTATGGATCAATGGCAAGAATATTTCCATACCAACAAGAGTAGATCCCAAAGAGATCTTCTATTGATTACTAAAGTTATTGTTAATTTATTGCTTGTATAATATTACATGCATAATGGCCCGTGTTTGGTGTGTTTATACACTGGCCATTGACACAGTCCTGATTACAAGTTTCTGAGCCACCGACCTTTCGATAATGGCCGTTGTTAATTATCCTACCACACATTTTTATAATAGAGGCGGCTTTAAATTGTGCTGGGATAAACTTTCTGGGGAGGAAACGTGCTAGGATAATATAGGATTGAATAAAGAGAAAGGGTGGAGAGGTTAGTGTACGCTTTGAATAAAGTATTGTGTTTGTTGCCTGTGATGGGAATGGCATAAAGAGAAAATATCAGGGTGGGTGACTTCAGGAAAAGGAGTAAGTTTCTTGAAAGAATGGCTAAATGGCTCGAATTGATGATTTGATAGTATCATGGAACGTGATCGTATGTATCATATCATATCATGGCCAAGTCATCAAGAAAAAGTTATCATCATTTTGTTTGGGGTGTGGACCCAAAGAAACCCTCTGGGTCTTTTTTTGGGCCATCAAGAACCATTTCAGTGGAATGTTGGACAGCAAAGGGAGCAAGAGCAACCCAATCCAAATTCCCAGTGAAATATAATGACATGATAGCCCAGGCCTAAAGCAATTACTTGAATGTAAGATGGACCCAAATAAAATAAAATAAAAACTCACTTAAAGGTCCAACTATGCGGTCCAATCTGGCTGCTGAACTTTCTTCTTCTTCTTCTTTTTGGGTGAACATTTTCTTTCCGTGGTTGTAAATTTGCCTTTTGCAATTGTGCATTTCTTTTGGATTGTTTTACTCATATCAATAACTAAATATTTGGATTTAATTTAAGAACTTGAGTTTGACATTAAAAGATCTCGTATTCAACATTACCCAAACTATTTTGAGAATATTTTCTTTTGAAAATGTCATAACACATTGGTAGGAGAGATTAGAGGTGTGTGTATATTTATTATTTTTTAGACTACACCATTAGAAGACGATGTTTAAGAAAGATTTACAAATTTATATTTTAAGGTTTAAGTTTTGAAGTTATTATTTAAGCAAATAAATTATTTTAAATGTATTAGATTAACGTAGAGTGTCCTTAAAATTATTTAAAATAAATTAATCTCATACAAAACATTTGGAGGCCTAACTATAATTCTGAAAAAGAAGAAGAAGAAGTCATATTTCACCAATGCTCAATATAAACATCGTGACATAGGAAACAAATGTGACTACAAATTCGATGACTCTCACCCTGTTTTGACTTTCTTCCACGTAAACATTATGTAAGTCTAAAAGGCATTTAATTTACTATCCCTAAAGTCTTCCAGCTTTGACAATAATATATGAAACACCGAAGCCTATAATCCAAAAGATCCAAAATAAAAAACAACTACTAAAGATATTATTTTATTTCTTTGTCTCTTGATGTTTATGCTGGCCAAGTCTGTTGCGTTTTTAAGGTCCAGCTATATTTTCTGGGTTGTATTTAAACCTTTTGAAAATATGGTTGTATATGAGTAATAGTATAATAAATGTCTTTTATGGAAAATAAAAAATAAAAAAATATTGCCCAGTATATAACATAAATAATTAATTAGGTGAGATCATCCTCGTGGAGTTCTACCTAATAAATTTAATTTTTGCAGTCTAAATTTTTTTTAAAAAAAAGATATAGCACAGTAATGTTATCCCAATAAGACAAAAATACTCTTGCGCCAATTTTGTTCATTGCTTGGAGTAAGACAAAAATGTGAGTCGAAAATCCAGAAAAAGGATAAAAAATTTTAATAAACAAAGGCCAAAACGTAACATCGAAACAAAAAAAAAAAAAAAAAAAGCC